CAGAGCAAAGGCGGCGCACTGAAAGGCAAGATGGCACGCGGGGCTGCTAAGGGGCAGCGCGCGGGCTGCAAGGGCGGCACACGGGCTACAGGGTGGCGCGCAGGCTGCCAGGGTGGTGCACGGGCTGCAGACGGGCGGCTCACGGACAGGTAGGGCAGGGCGCGGGCTGCAAAGGGCGGCGCGTGGGCAGGCAGGGGCGGCACGCGGCCAGCAAGGCGGCGCGCGGGGCTGCAAGGGGGGGGGGGGGTGTCAAACTCCTATGCTATAGTCCGTGTAGGCTGTAGTGGGGTAGACAATATGGGGTACAACACTATTAGGTTTTCCTACTTGTACCCACCTGCTTGCTAGTTCATTCATTCCTTTCTCATTTCTTCACATGGTATAGAGCAGGTTCCCTAGTGGGAACGCTTCTCAGGGCCCACCACTGATTTTTTTTTTTCCTGACCGGAGCACGAGTCGCCTCTGCCCGAGGCGCGCCCCGTTGGCCGCCCTCACGTCGCCTCTCACGGCCCCCTCGCGCCACCCTTAGCGGCCCCGTCGCCACCCCTTACGGCCCCGTCGCCGTCCTTTGAGGCCCCGTCGCCGCCCCCTCTAGGCCCCTCGCAGCCCCTTCGCGGCCCCGTCGCCGCCCCTAGTGGCAACGTCGCCACACTTTGAGGCCCCTCTCGGCCCCTTTGCGGCCCTGTCGCCGCCCCTAGCGGCCCCGTCGCCGCCCCTATCGGCCCCGTCGCCGCCCCTACCGGCCCCGTCACCGCCTCTAGCGGCCCCGTAGCCGCTCCTACCGGCCCCGTCGCCGCCCTTTGAGGCCCCTTGCGGCCCCTTCGCGACCCCGTCGCCGCCCCTAGCGGCCCCGTCACAGCCCTTCCAGGCCCCTCTCGGCCCCTTTGCAGCCCCGTCGCCGCCCCTAGCGGCCCCGTCGCCGCCCCTATCGGCCCCGTCGCCACTCCTAGCGGCCCCGTCGCTGCCCCTATCGGCCCGGTCGCTGCCCCTAGCGGCCCCATCGCCGCCCTTCACGGCCCCCCTTCAGCTGCCAAGCGGCCGAACCACCGAGTCGCCGAGCCGCCCAGCCACCGAGCCGCCCAGCAGCCGCGCCGCCTAGCAGCCGAGCCGCCCAGCAGCCGAGCCGCCCAGCAGCCGAGCCGCCCAGGAGCCGAGCCGCCCAACAGCCGAGCCGCCCAGCAGTCGAGCCGCCCAGCAGGCGAGCCACCCAACAGCCGAGCCGCCTACCAGCCGAGCCGCCCAGCACACGAGCCGCCCAGCTGCCGAGCCGCCGAGCCGCCGTCGAGGTGCTACTGTTCCTACCGGCGCGCACCGGCCCTACCCACCCGGACTAGTGAGAGCACTCCCTATTAGACCACAACTGTCATGGCTACCCCCAGTGTCCTTACCTTTGATGCTGAGGGTCCTGCTAATGACTTTGAGGTCTGGGTCGATGACCTCCAGCTCTTCCTACAGTGCGATCGGGAAGATAGACTCTCCCTGTTTGATCTCACCTCTGGTGCCTCTCCTGCCCCCCCAGCTACTGCTGACAGGACTGTTCGCTCACAGTGGGCCACACGCGATGCTGCTGCCCGTCTTGCTGTGCGTCGCCACTTACGGACAGCTGAGCGTGCGCATTTTAGTCAGTACAAGAGTGCCAAGACCTTGTACGACGCTGTAGTTGCACGCTATTCTTCCTTACTACCGTCTCTTCCCCTACCGCACTGCGCCCCTCCCCCCGCCGCGGCTCTTCCTTGTGCCAGGTCCTCCCTCAGTAGACCCTCTCCCCCCTCAGGGTCCTGCCCCGTCAGGTGTGTCCCAGGTAGACGCAGTCGAGCCTGTCGAGGTTGTTGTTGAGTCAGGTGCTGCTAGGGGTGCTTAGCTTTGCGGGTGCCGGGTCAGGGGGTGCTGAGCCTGGGGGTGCGGAGCCTGGGAGTGCTGAGTCTAGGGGTGCTGAGCCTGCGGGTGCCGGGTCTGGGGGTGCTGAGCCTGGGCGTGCTGAGCCTGGGGGTGCGGAGCCTGGAGATGCGGAGCCTGGGGGTGCTGGGTCTGCTTCATCAAGGCTGGAGCTACTCTCTCCGCAGGAGCTACGCGAGTGGTTTGCCCGCCGCTGGAGCCGTGCTGCTGGAGCTGGAGGTACTACTGTTGCTGCTGGTTCTGGAGGTGCTCGTAGTGGCGGTACTGGAGCTGCTGGGACTGGGGGTGCTGCTGGGAATGCTGGAGTTAGTCCTGCTGGAGGTACTACTGGAGCTGTTGGCGGTGCTGGAGCTGACGGTCCTGCTTGAGTTTGTGCTGCTGGAGCTGGAGCTGCTGGGGGTGTTGGCGCTCATGGTTCTGCTGGCGCTGGTGCTTCTGAGGGTGCTGGAGTTGGCGCTGTTGGAGCTGGAGGTGCTGCTGGCGCTGGTACTGTCGCTGGGGGTACTGGTGCTGTCCCTTCTGGTTCTGGAGGCGCTGCGCGGCCGAGGCCGTACTTCGTTCCGCTCCTTGAGCAGGTTCTTGGTCTCCCGCCCTCTACTGGTCCTGCTCCTCCCTTAGAGGGTCCACAGCCTGTCCAATCGTGGTCACAGTTACAGCCCGCCTCCCCCCTACTTGCTCCTTCTCCCTACACTGGTCCTACTGGAGGTCTTGCTGAGCGTCGTGAGCCTGCGTCTCGTCCTGCGTCACCTGTTCGTGCTGCTCGCACTAGTGGTCGTGTTCCGCGTCCGCGTCCTCCTGCAGTCCCAGGCACACACCAGATGGCACTGCGTCTATCCATTGCTCCTCTGCGTGTCCCGTTGCCGTCTTCCTCCAGTGTCCTCTCTTCCTACTCTTGCTGACCCAGAGTCTAACTCTCTTCGTGCTGCCAGTCCTACTGTCATACGTCTCCTTGCTACTGTTGTCACTAACCCTTCTTTTGAGTCCACTGTTGCGTCTGCCTTAGATGCTGAGCTTGTCGACTTTGCTGCTCGCTGTCGTCTAGACTACGCTGCTAGTCTTATTGCTGAGTCTGAGTCTGTCTGTCCTCGGTCCGTCGGGGGTGAGTGTGCTCTTAGCACGGACGTCCTTGAGGACAGGCAGGAGGAGTTCCAGTGTTTTGCTGCTGCTTTGCCTCATCTCGTGTCCACGCTGATTGCCCCTGAGGGAGACCCAAATGCACCAGACATTCCGACTCCTCGATCGTACGCTAAGGCGATCGAGGGTTCCTACTCCTCACAGTGGCAATCAACCATGGACGCAGAGATGGCATCCTGGAAGTCCACAGGCACCTACGTTGACGAGGTTCCCCCACCTGGGGCGAACATCGTCAGTGGCATGTGGATTTTCAGGGTGAAGCGGCCGTCGGGTTCTCCGCCTGTCTTCAAGGCGCGTTACGTGGCTCGTGGCTTCAGTCAGCGGCAGGGAGTTGACTACTTTCAGACCTTCTCTCCCACCCCGAAGATGACCACTCTTCGGGTGCTGCTGCACATAGCCGCTCAGCGTGACTACGAGCTTCACTCTCTTGACTTCAGCACAGCTTTCCTGCAGGGCAGCCTGCACGAGGAGATCTGGCTGCTCCGCCCACCTGGCTTCACTGGGTCGTTTCCTGCAGGTACCCAGTGGAGCCTCCGGCGGCCAATCTACGGTCTCCGCTAGGCGCCCCGTGAGTGGCACGACACACTGAGGACTACACTTGCGGCTCTTGGGTTTGCTCTGTCTACTGCCGACCTGTCGTTGTTTCTGCGCACCGACACCTCTTTGCCGCCGTTCTAAATCCTCGTGTACGTCGTCGACTTGGTCTTCGCCACTGCTGACACTGCTGGACTCGCCCACGTGAAGTCTGAGCTGCAGAAGAGACACACGTGCACAGACCTGGGTGAACTGCGCAGCTATCTTGGCTTGCAGATCACCCGGGACAGAGCACAGCGCACCATTACCCTGACTCAGTCACACATGGTGCAGCAGGTCCTTCAGCGCTTCGACTTCACGTACTCCTCGCCTCAGGCCACTCCTCTGTCTACTCGCCACTCGCTCTCAGCTCTGCCTTCGGATGAGTCCGTAGAGTCGAGTGGCCCGTACCCAGAGCTTGTTGGCTGCCTCATGTACCTGATGACCTGCACACGACCTGACCTACCATACCCTCTTAGCATCTTGGCACGCTATGTTGCTCCTGGGAGACACCGACCAGAGCACATGGCTTCAGCAAAGAGGGTGTTGCGCTACTTGTGCAGTACGTCAGGAAGGGGGCTAGTGCTTGGAGGGCGGCGTCCAGTGGTCCTCACAGGTCATGCAGACGCTTCTTGGGCTGACGACCAGGCTACGCAGCGGTCGTCACAGGGTTACACCTTCAGCCTTGGGTCCGGCTCTGTTTCGTGGCGGTCTACCTGCTTGTCTTCTGTTCTCGGCTCCAGCTGTGAGGCTGAGATCTACGCGGGGGCCATGGCTGCACAAGAGCTACGCTGGCTCACCTACCTACTGACTGACCTAAGAGAGCCGCCTCGTTTTCCTCCAGTTCTGTACATAGACAACAAGGCCATGCTGGCCAGACCGGAGCACAGAACGAAGCACATTGCTCTTCGCTACTTCCTTGCTCGTGAGCTGCAGCAGGGTGGTCAGCTGCGCCTTGCTTACGTGGCCTCAGAGGCCAACGCTGCTGATATTTTTACCAAGGCACCTCCGCCTTGTGATCATCAGCGCTTCTGTATGATGCTAGGTCTTGTGCCTACTTGGCCTCACTTGCTCACTTCTTGACCTTGCTTGTACTGTGATCTTTCTATACCTGCACTTGCTTGTTTACCTTTATATATGATCTTGCATGTGAGCTGGCCTTGTAGCCTTGCTCTTGTGCTCGGACTGTGTGGTGATATTGTGATCCACCCTGAGCTTGCTTTGCTTTGCTTGACTGGTCTTGTGACCTCTTGTTCTCCCCCACTTTGCCTATGGGGGTGTGTCAAACTCATATGCTATTGTCCATGTAGGCTGTAGTGGGGTAGACAATATGGGGTACAACACTATTAGGTTTTCCTACTTGTACCCATCTGCTTGCTAGTTCATTCATTCCTTCCTCATTTCTTCACAGGGGGCAGCACGCGGGCTGCAAGGGCGGCGCAAGGGCTGCAAAGGGCAGCGCGCTGCCAGCAGAGCGGCGCGCGGGCTGTAGACGGGCGGTGCGCAGGCTGCAAGGGTGGGCGCGTGGGTGGCGTGCGCGGGGCGGCGCGACGCGGGGCAGGCAGGAGCGGCGCGCAGGCAGGCAGAGGCGACGCGCGGGCAGGCAGGGCGGATGGGCGACGCGACGGGTTGGGGCAGCCCGCACGGGCGACGCGACAGGCAGGGGAAGGGCGGACGGGCGACGCGACAGGCAGGGGAAGGGCGGACGGGCCAATAATTGTGACAAGGCCCTTGCCCGTGCCGCCGCGACCGCCGCCCGCGCCGCCGCGACCGCCGCCCGCGCCGCCGCGACCGCCGCCCGCGCCGCCGCGACCGCCGCCCGCGCCGCCGCGACCGCCGCCCGCGCCGCCGCGACCGCCGCCCGCGCCGCCGCGACCGCCGCCCGCGCCGCCGCGACCGCCGCCCGCGCCGCCGCGACCGCCGCCCGCGCCGCCGCGACCGCCGCCCGCGCCGCCGCGACCGCCGCCCGCGCCGCCGCGACCGCCGCCCGCGCCGCCGCGACCGCCGCCCGCGCCGCCGCGACCGCCGCCCGCGCCGCCGCGACCGCCGCCCGCGCCGCCGCGACCGCCGCCCGCGCCGCCGCGACCGCCGCCCGCGCCGCCGCGACCGCCGCCCGCGCCCCCGCGACCGCCGCCCGCGCCCCCGCGACCGCCGCCCGCGCCGCCGCGACCGCCGCCCGCGCCGCCGCGACCGCCGCCCGCGCCGCCGCGACCGCCGCCCGCGCCGCCGCGACCGCCGCCCGCGCCCCCGCGACCGCCGCCCGCGCCCCCGCGACCGCCGCCCGCGCCGCCGCGACCGCCGCCCGCGCCGCCGCGACCGCCGCCCGCGCCGCCGCGACCGCCGCCCGCGCCCCCGCGACCGCCGCCCGCGCCCCCGCGACCGCCGCCCGCGCCGCCGCGACCGCCGCCCGCGCCGCCGCGACCGCCGCCCGCGCCGCCGCGACCGCCGCCCGCGCCGCCGCGACCGCCGCCCGCGCCCCCGCGACCGCCGCCCGCGCCCCCGCGACCGCCGCCCGCGCCCCCGCGACCGCCGCCCGCGCCCCCGCGACCGCCGCCCGCCCCCCCCGCCGCCCGCGCCCCCGCGACCGCCGCCCGCGCCCCCGCGACCGCCGCCCGCGCCCCCGCGACCGCCGCCCGCGCCCCCGCGACCGCCGCCCGCGCCCCCGCGACCGCCGCCCGCGCCCCCGCGACCGCCGCCCGCGCCCCCGCGACCGCCGCCCGCGCCCCCGCGACCGCCGCCCGCGCCCCCGCGACCGCCGCCCGCGCCCCCGCGACCGCCGCCCGCGCCCCCGCGACCGCCGCCCGCGCCCCCGCGACCGCCGCCCGCGCCCCCGCGACCGCCGCCCGCGCCCCCGCGACCGCCGCCCGCGCCCCCGCGACCGCCGCCCGCGCCCCCGCGACCGCCGCCCGCGCCCCCGCGACCGCCGCCCGCGCCCCCGCGACCGCCGCCCGCGCCCCCGCGACCGCCGCCCGCGCCCCCGCGACCGCCGCCCGCGCCCCCGCGACCGCCGCCCGCGCCCCCGCGACCGCCGCCCGCGCCCCCGCGACCGCCGCCCGCGCCCCCGCGACCGCCGCCCGCGCCCCCGCGACCGCCGCCCGCGCCCCCGCGACCGCCGCCCGCGCCCCCGCGACCGCCGCCCGCGCCCCCGCGACCGCCGCCCGCGCCCCCGCGACCGCCGCCCGCGCCCCCGCGACCGCCGCCCGCGCCCCCGCGACCGCGCCGCGCCCCCCGCGGACCGCCGCCGCGCCCCCGCGACCGCCGCCCGCGCCCCCGCGACCGCCGCCCGCGCCCCCGCGACCGCCGCCCGCGCCCCCGCGACCGCCGCCCGCGCCCCCGCGACCGCCGCCCGCGCCCCCGCGACCGCCGCCCGCGCCCCCGCGACCGCCGCCCGCGCCCCCGCGACCGCCGCCCGCGCCCCCCTGCGACCGCCGCCCCGCGCCCCCGCGACCGCCGCCCCGCGCCCCCCGCGACGCCGCCCCGCGCCCCCCGCGGACCGCCGCCCGCGCCCCCGCGACCGCCGCCCGCGCCCCCGCGACCGCCGCCCGCGCCCCCGCGACCGCCGCCCGCGCCCCCGCGACCGCCGCCCGCGCCCCCGCGACCGCCGCCCCGCGCCCCCGGCGGACCGCCGCGCCCGCGCCCCCCGCGACCGCCGCCCGCGCCCCCTTACACGCTACCGGTGCTGCCCGCGCCTCCACGTAAGACTCCTCCCCACCCTCCCTCTCCCCTTCCCCTTTGGCTGCTCTCTCCCCTCCTCTCTCACACCTTGCATCATACCCTCACCGTTTCCTCCCCCTGTGGCTGCCCTCTCCCACCCACTCCATCTTCCCGCCTCCTAACTCTTACAGCTATCTTCATCTCTTCCTCCCCCTGTGGCTGTCTTCCCCCCCCAATCTGTCGTCATGGCCACCGATTACTCTTCTCACATTAGCTCCATTGACCGACTCGAACTCATTGCTGATACCACTGCGATCAGCTGGACTTCCTTCTCCGAAAGCATGCATGTCCTCCTTCGCTCCACTACCCTTCACAATTACAATCTTCTTGACCTCGTGCTTGACACCCCATTTGGAGCTGCCCCCTCCCCTCCCGTAGCACCTTCTTCCCCCCCTCCTCCCGACCCACCCGCTCCCCCAGGCCTTCCTCCCACAGCTCCACCTACACCCTCCCACCACGATGACCCTGACTGATGGGCGCGCACTCTTCGCGACTACACTCGCGACCACGCCACATACGTCCTCGCCGATGCGGCTCACAAGGACGCCCTTGCTGCTTACACCACCGCCACAGCCGCATCAGCTGAGTACGCGCAGAAGCTTGCTATATATCGGGAGGAAGATCTGAAATGCAAAGCCGATTCTCCACTAGACGCCTTGCCGACCTCAAAGCACTCAACATCATACTTGCATGCATTCCCACCTCCCTCAAACGAGAGATCCGCCCTACCACCTCTGCAGCCCTTTGGAAAGACCTTACCACTCGCTTCGACCGACAAGATCTCGACTCTCTTCTCGCACTATACCGCGACTTCCAGGCAATTTCTCTTGAAGCCTCTCCGAATGCTGCCACATTCACTCGCCGCCTCACTGACGCCGCTCGCCGCCTCACTGACCGCGACATCACTATCACCGATTCCCTCCTCATGGCTCGCATTCTTGACGACCTCCCCACTGCCTACACCACTCACAAAATCGCATTCACTACTGCTCGCACCGGCACTCCCTCCTCTGATGCTATCTCCTGGCTACTTGACGCCGAAGTCGACCTCTTCCACTCCTCCTCCCCCCTCACTGCTGCTCTTGTGCGTGGAGGTGGAAGTGGCCGTGGCACTCCTAGCAGCGGCTTTGGCGGAGGATGCGGTGCGGGACGTGGTGGTCGTGGTGGAGGCGGTCGCTCCACTCCTCGCCAAGGTGGTGGCCGTGGTGCTGGTCGCGGTGGTGCCTCTGGACTCGGCACCCTCTCCCCATGTCAATATCTCATTCGCTACGGCTTGCTCAAAGGCCAGCGCTGTCTTCAAACGACTCACACCACAGCCACCTGCTTCAAGGCACTCACCGATGAATGGTTTGAACGTGGTAACACTGGTACCCCCCCCCCCCCCCCCCGCTGGCACCTCCTTCATCCCCTTCCCACCCCTCATGATGTACGCACCTCCCCGGTATACCAGCCCCCCTCTATCTCTCAGGTCCTTCCCACCTCCCCAATTCCTCCTCCACACACCCTCCCCACCCCATACCCCCCTTTTCCCCCTCCCCTCGCATCCCTTGTTTTTCCCCAACCCCCTCCCTCCACCCCTTGGTACCCTTCACAATAACCCCCCCTACCCCGGCTACCCCCCGGCCCCTCCCCCTCCCACTCCACCCACTGACCCACCCAAGGTGACCGAACCTACCCCTCTTTCCCCTTCCCATCCCCCAGGCTTTACCCCATTTCCCTCTGCTGCCTTCGTAGGACAAAGCCTCCAGTCTCCAATGCCTAGTGATCCTTCTATGTATGCTGATGCTATTAATACAATGTCATTCCAGTACTTCGCGCCATCACCACCTCTCGAAATTGTCTTAGACAATGGTGCCTCCCACACCGTTCTTCGTGACGCTGGAACCCTCACTCCCCTCTCCACTCCCTCCACAATTCATGGTGCCGACTCCACATTTGCCGTCCAAAGTCATCATTCATCCACTCTCCCTTGTCCCCTATTTCCATCCGGTACAGTGTCCGGCCTCCACATCCCCTCCCTCCGTCACAACCTCATCTCCCAAGGTGCCCTTCAACATGCAGGTATCACCACCATCTTCCCTGGCTATGCATCTCACTGTGACCTATTTCACTCCACCTCCGGCCGCTTCATCTCCCGGATTCCTATGTGTCCCATAACTCGCATGTACACCTTCCGCACTCCCCGTTTCCCTGCACCCCAGGTATTCGCCACGACCTCCCCCGTCCCCCCCACCCTCCCCTCCTCCACTCCTGTCCCCTCTCCTTGCTCCTGTCGAGAGGGCCATAGATACCTTCTCATTCTTGTGGATGATTACAGCCGATACTCCTCGGTATCACTCCTACGCACTAAAGGTGAAGCCCCTGCTGCCATCATTGCATGGGCCACTCAAGCTGCCAACCATTTTAAACGACCCATCCGTCGTCTTGACTCAGACGGCGGTGGTGAGTTCCTCAATCACACACAGTCATCCTATTGCACCGCCCATGGCATTCGCCACACCTACACCCTTCCCCACTCCCCTCAGCAAAACGGTGTAGCCGAAAGCCGTATCCGCGAAAACACCAAGACGGCCCGGTGCCTCTTAGTTCACGCTTCCTGCCCACCCTCCCTTTGGGGATATGCACTTCTCCATGCCGCACTTCTCACTAACCTCTACCCCCACCCCAGCCGTCCCTCCACCACCCCCACTGAGCTATGGACCTCTACCAAACCCGACGTCTCCCCTCTTCGTGTCTGGGGCTCTAAAGCCCATGTCCTCATTCACCCCACAGACCGCCCTCGCGCAGCTGGCAAACTTGCCGATAAAACCCTTCCTTGTATCTACCTTGGTGACAACCCTTCCTCCCCAGATTATCTCTTCCTCCACCCCCCCTCAGGACGCCTCATTCGCAGTCGTGATGTCATTTTCGATGAATCCACACCCTACTACTCTTCTCCACCCCCCACTGACCCCCTCACCCTCCCCTCCCGCCCTCTCCGATGGACTGACACAACCTCCCTTCCCCTTCTCCCCCCTCCCCCGGTAATCCCCCCAACCCCAGCTCCCCCCACTCCCTCTGATCCCCCCGCCTCAGACTCCTCCGGTGACATCCTTGACCCCGACATTCCCCCCTCCTCCTCCCACTCCATCACCTCTCCCCTCCCTCCCTCCCCCCACTCATCCCCCGCCCCCTCCTCCCCTCCCCCTCTACCCCCCCCCCTCCTTCTCGCCCTGTCCCATCCATTGTTCTTCAACCACGCCCCCACACCCGCTCCCTTGACCCCATCCTTGGTCCCCCTCTCCTTCCACACACACTGTCCTGCACTCCCTCCCCCCCTATCCTCAGTCCCCCCTCCCTCCCCACCAGTGCACTCCCTCGTCGTCGTCACCTTCACCCAACTCTGGCTCCCCCTCGCAGCCGAGTCACTGACATCAAGCATGCCAGGAATGCAGAGCAGCAGCGGAGCCGAGCAGCAGAGCAGCCGAGCAGCAGAGCAGCCGAGCAACAGAGCAGCCGAGCAGCCGAACAGCAGCGCAGCCGAGCGGCTAAGCAGCTGAGTAGCAGAGCAGCAGTCCAGCGACCCGCCCTCACCTTCCCTCTGCGCAACCACCTCCCATCCTCCTCCCTCCCCCCCCCCTCTCTCCCCTCTTCTCTTTGAGGACACGCATGACAAGCTTCTCTACCTCCACCTCTGCCAACCCTCTCGTGCCCCCATTGTTTGCACTATGATCGGCATCCCCGTTCTTCTCTTCTCAGGAGCGCCTACCATCTTCGAACCCACCACCTACGAAGAAGCCATGGCGTGCCTCAATGCACTATTTCATTCGTGACCTCGTCAATGACGGTCACATCACAATCCGCAAGATTGATTCTTCTGCAAACCCTGCGGATATTTTCACCAAGGCACTCTCCCGCTCTGTGCACTCCTCGCTCCTTCCCCTGCTTGGGCTCGCTCCCCCCTCTTCCAGTGGCTGATTCAGGGGTTGCGACTTCTTCCCAAGACTTTCTTGTCTTTTGCATGATAAGGGGTTGTGTTAGAATACTCCTATTCTTGTATCATGCTCAGACTGTTAAGTCTTGGGTAGTTATAAGCACCCAAGCTTAGCTTGGGTGTAGAATCAGGGTTTGCCCTAATTGAGGGGTTGGACCAACCCAACCTTGGTCCAATATTGTTACCCCCCAATAGATGAGCTCCCCATTATTGGAGGTTCAGTGTTTGTGGTCCTCTATCTCAATTATTGGCCCCTCCAATAATTGGTGACCCCAACTTATTGGTGAGGGCCAATAATTGTGACAAGGCCCTCATCCAACTCATCCCTCCTTCTCCAACTATGTAAACGTCTTCTTTCCTTAATGAGATCATCATTCAGTTTTCTAACACGCCCTGCCCTACTGCTGCTGCTGTTGCTACTGCTGCCATGGCTAGTCCTACTATTCTCATCTTCGATGCTGAGGATCGTGCGGTCAATTTCGAGGTCTGGGTAGATGACCTGCAGCTCTATCTTCAGTGCGGCTCTAGGGACGGAGTCTCGCTCTTCGATCACATGTCCGGCGCCTCTGTTGCACCTGCTGCCGATGCTGACAGTACAGTTCGCTCGCAGTGGACTACTCGTGATGCTGTTGCTCGCCTTGCTGTTCGTAGTCACCTGCCGTCTGCTGAGCGCGCGCACTTTGCCCAGTACAAAACTGCTAAGTCTCTGTATGACGCTGTCGTTGTGTGCTACTCCTCCCATGCCTCTGCTGCCCTCAACCTGTCACAATAGATTTATATCTATTTAGTATAACCGCCTGTAGTGTAGCTGTTGTGTAATTCCCTTGTGTGGTGGTGCACCTCTTTCACCTTTGTTAGGTTGCTATATGTACTCGTGTGCTATAGTGAACTTCCAACCATTTCTTCAATTCTCCTTGGCACAAACTATTCGACACCCGCTTGGCCTAGGCTACTAAGCCTAGGCCCCTAGTTAAACCCAGTTACCAGTTGAGTCAGTGTTGTAACATGGTATAGAGCTAGGTCCGATTTAGGACCGTTCGTTTTACATGGGCCCACCACTAGCCCTCGTCGTGGCGCATCCATTCGCGCAGCCCGTAGGGCGCATCGTGAGCGCCAGGACGATAAGCTCGTCGCGGTGCCCTGCTGCAGCTCGTCGCCCCGCGCTACCTGCTGCTGCAGCCCGTCGCGCGTCCCGTTGCGCTGCCGCCCGTTACCCGCCTCGTCGACCGTCGCCCGTCCCGTTGCGCAGCCGCCCATCGCCAGATCCCTGCCACCCAAGGCACTCGGCTGCCCATCGCCAGGTCCCCGCCCGCCCTCCCGTCGACTTCGCAACTGCTGTGAAGGGAGTGGCGGGAGTGGCGAGAGTGGTGGGAGTGGCGGGAGAAGCTGCTGCTACACCATTGCACGCGCCAGATCGTCGTGACCCGCACCCCGCACCCCGCCCGTCGCCCGTACGCCACCGGCACCCCGCACTCCACCCGTCGCCCGTACGCCATCCGCACTACGCACGACGTCCGTGCCCCCGTCCGCAAGACCCGTCCGAACCCCGTACCTGCACCCAGACCGCCGTTCTGCCCTAGATCCCGCCCCCCCCCCACCGACAATTGCCACCCCACCCCCATCTCCGGCTCCGTATCCAGCAGGAAGGGTAGGAGGTGTGGTGTTGGCCCGAAGGGGACGGCTGGGGGAGGGGGAGTGGTGGGGTTGGCGGCTCATGTAAGGGGGAGGTTCAGGGGGTGGGTGATCCATCTGCAGCTACTGCTGCCGCACCTCCCCCTCTCTCTCTCCGTCGCTGCTGCTGCTGTGGGGGGGGGGAGGTTCAAGGGGTGTGGGTGGTGACATTTCAACTGCAGCATCATCCGCCTCCTCCTCCTCTCATCCCTTGCTGCGCGTGCCTTGCTGTCCACCCGTGCTTCCGCCCGTGTCTCCCGTACTGTCGCTCGTGTTCCCCGTACTTGCCCCGTGTCCGTGCCCATGCCCGTGCTGTCCGCTCGTGTTCCACGTGCCCGTGCTGTCCGTACCCGGTTGTGCCCCACCAGTCTCACCCGTGCTATCCGTACCCAGTTATGCCCCGCCAGTATCACCCGTGCTGTCCGTACCCAGTGCCCTCCGTGTTCCCGTGCTGCCCCCCGTGTTCTCGTGCTGCCCTGATCTCCCCGTGCTGCCCCGTTCTGCCTGTGTTGTGCCCATTCCCGTGCCGTGTTGCCCCGTTCAGCCCTTGTCGTACCCCCTTCTTCCTGTGCAGCCCCGTTGTCCCCGTGTTTCCCTGTTCTGCCCGTGTTGCCCCGTTCAGCCCGTGTCCTGCCCCGTTCAGCCCGTGTCCTGCCCCGTTCTGCCCGTGTTGCCCCGTTCAGCCCGTGTCCTGCCCCGTTCTGCCCGTGTTGCCCTGTTCTGCCCGTGCTGCCCCGTTCTGCCCGTTTGTGCCCTACCCATGTTTTCTGTACCTGTTGGTGCCCCACCCGTGCTGTCAGTTCTCGCTCGTGCCCCACCCGGTCTGTGCTGCCCGGTCTCGTGCTGTCCGTCACCCCCGTGCGGCTCGTCCCGTACAGCACCTAGTTGCTACCCGAACCCGCTACCCGTACCCGTGCTCCTCGCACACCGTGCACCAGCTGCGGGGCGTTCAACCGCAGCCGGGCACCTGTTCCACCGCGGTGGTTCAGATGCTGCTTGGTGGTTGCTGCTTGTCAGCTTC